TCCTCCATTTATCCTCTTCACTCATTTCCCCATCTCTTCCCTCCTACCCTCGCGCTGACGCTCCTTTCTCGCCCCTTTCACTTTCACACCTGCAGAAAGCGCCTTGCACCCCCCTACTCTCACACACTCTCTCATTAAAATCTCTCACAAAAATCTCATACACTCTCACGCTCACATTTTCTCACTCAAACTTACACGCACACTCTCACTCACTCACCACACCCACCCCACACACACACACACACACATCACACAACCACACACACCACACACACACACACACACACACACACACACACACCACACACCACACACACACACACATACACACACAAACACACACATCACACACCACACACACACACACATACACACACACATGCACACACACACACACACACACATACACACACACACACACACACACACACACACACACATACGCACACACGCACACGTCTGAACAATACTTACATGGCCGCGGCTGTGTCGATAATTTACTTTCATTACTGCATTTAATGCACCGTACTCACCTACCCTGTGTTTGTTGACTACATGTGTCCGGCGTGTACGCCCCATGCACGTGTCCATTTCTCATACATGTTTATTCCGTATACGTAACTGCTTCTCACACGTCTGTCTCTTGCACGGATGCGTTTCCCCCTGTACGTGTATACGTGCATTTCGTGTGTGGGGTGTTTTCACCCCCCTGCACGCGTGATTTGTTCCGTGCGTGTCTTGCAAGTGTATTTACTTTCACGTGCCTTGGGCGTGTCCTCACGTGCGTCTCGCACGTGTTTTCATGTACGTGTGTTACATGTGTTCTTATGTACGTGTCTTAAACGTGCCCTCATACACGTGTTTTAATTATATCCTCATTCACGTGTTTTGCACCTGTCCTCGTACACGTGTCTTACACATATTCTCATGTACGTATCTTGCGCGTGTCCTAGTGCACTTGTCTTTCACATGTTCTCACGTACTTGTTTTTAGTCCATTTCTATTTATTTATTGCAACAAAAACATCATATTCTCTTTTTCATTGTTTTAAATTAATTGTATAAAAAATCCACGAATGACAAAGATTTTCTTTAAGACTCTCAGCAGAATTCGTAAAAAAAAAAAAATACAAAATATGGATCTATGTTGAATACAGTGTCTGAAATACAAAATATTCTGAATGAAAACCTCGTGTCATTTGTCAGTAATAACTCATTAGATCAGTTGGTACGTATGAGTCATATTGGGGTTCAGGCCGGGATGGTCTCAGACCAGGGTGGCCTGGTCTCAGACCAGGGTGGCCTGGTCTCAGGCCAGGGTGGCCTGGTCTCAGACCAGGGTGGCCTGGTCTCAGACCAGGGTGGCCTGGTCTCAGACCAGGGTGGCCTGGTCTCAGACCAGGGTGGCCTGGTCTCAGACCAGGGTGGCCTGGTCTCAGACCAGGTGGCCTGGTCTCAGACCAGGTGGCCTGGTCTCAGACCAGGGTGGCCTGGTCTCAGACCAGGGTGGCCTGGTCTCAGACCAGGGTGGCCTGGTCTCAGACCTGGGTGGCCTGGTCTCAGACCAGGGTGGGGGGTTGAATGTCTGCGTGGCACAGCAGTCAGATATCTTATTAAGAATATAAGTAAACAGTGTGAAAAAAGTATTATAGGTTTGAAGTGAAGGCTGGAAGAGGGTTGGCACTAAGCGGGCAGCAGTGAAGATCCAGGGGGCACTGTGCTTCCTGCTCCTAGAGTGGGACCCTCAGCAGCGCCGTCATTAAGAATGTCTCTTTGGTGTATTCAAGCCGCTGGTGTTATTCACGGCCTCACAAAGGGTGCTCCGAGCTGGCCTTTGATCTCGTCTGCGGCGGCTCTAAGAGTCGGCTGGACTGTAAGTGGGATTAGGCTACGGGTCAGGGGGCAAAGGGCAGCGGTGAGCAGAGAGCTACCTGGTGTTGACCAGGTGTCCTGCGGGAGCAGAGGCACTCATCTTTCCCCTCCCATTCCCCCTTCCCCCTACCCCTCCCCCCTGCCAGTTTCTCAAGGACGCTCTCATTGCAAACATCTGTACAGCCCCTCAGTGCAGCACGTGGACTTACTGTCCTACGTGCTTAACGATATACGTTCCTTGTAGGTACTGATGAACACCTTTTAAGAGACACTGGGCCTTCCTGTATTATACTTGTCATATTTTTGAACTGTGTTACTCTCCTGTTTTATGCTGATGCACCGCGCTAAGCAGAAAGTTTACAACCAGTTTAATTAATATTTTCTATTTAGTTTCCATTAAGCAGTAGACCGACACCGCAGTTTACTGTGCAAAATATATTATTTCTACGTCAGTGGAAGATTCTCCCATTCTTGCCTCTAAGTTTATCAAGGTTACGTACAAGACGTGTGTCATTGTCTTCTAGAATTCTTGTATTTATGTGAAGCGCTAGACCCGTGTGGCCTATTCAGCGCAAGGAATAGTGAAGACTTGATCATCCGTCAGCTAATCGGCTAAGGACAGACTGACGGGCTCGCTTAAAGTAATCCCGTTGATGAGATCCAATAGACCTGAAATCCATGGGAGTTACGTTCAGTGATTCAACAGGAATATTTCGAGAATAAGTGCTATGTGTTTCCCGTTCCATTTGTGTTAGTGAAACTGGCTGCTGAATGTCGCTGTGTTTCTGGTTATTTTGGTGGGTAGTTTCAAACAAGTTAGCAGATTCTTATGTAGCGATGATATGAACTAATCTAAACACTAATATGTCGCTGCTACTGAAACTAATTACTACCATAAATCCGTTACATACACATTTCTTGTACTGGTCATTCCATGTATAAGAACATTGTTTTATCTGTCGCTTCGCTTAGCAATTGACCATACATTGAACACAGATCTCCATAACATACCTTCAGAGCGTAGTAAGATAGAGCTCTAGATCAACAGCTGTAGGTATAGGGGAAGGGCAGTTAAGAAATAAATATTTTCAATTAAAGAGAGAAATAAAAAGAGGAATAAGAAAAGCAAAAATGGATTATGAGGCTAAGGTCGCAAGGGATTTGAAGACTAACCCAAAAGGGTTCTTTCAGGTATACAGAAGTAAGATTAGAGACAAGATAGGCTCACTTAAGAGTAACTCAGGTCAGATCACTGACAGTGATAAGGATATGTGTGAAATTTTCAATTCTTACTTCCTCTCAGTTTTTACTCAGGAAGATACTAGCGAAATTCCAGAAAAAATAAATTATGTAAAACAGGACGATAATAAACTATGTACGATTGCAGTAACTAGTGACATGGTCTTCAGACAAACAGAGAAATTAAAGCCTAACAAATCCCCAGGCCCTGATGAACTGTTTGCAAGGGTTTTAAAGGAATGCAAAGAGGAATTTTGCAAACCTTGGCTAATCTTTTCAACATATCACTACCAACTGGCATAATGCCTAATAATTGGAAAATGGCAAATGTAATACCTATTTACAAGGCAGGTGACAGGTCCTTAGTTTCGAACTATAGACTTACCTCCATAGTGGGAAAATTTATGGAATCAATAATTGCCGAAGCAATTCGTAGCCATCTTGATAGGCATAAATTGATAAATGAATCTCAACACGGTTTTACTAAGGGGGGTTCCTGTCTTACGAATTTACTAACTTTTTTCGCTAAGGTGTTTGAGGAGGTAGATCTTGGTAATGAATATGATATTGTGTATATGGACTTCAGTAAGGCTTTCGATAGAGCTCCACATCAGAGACTTTTGAGGAAACTTAAGGCACACGGAATAGGAGGAGAAATTTTTTCCTGGGTAGAGGCATGGCTGACAAATAGGCAGCAAAGAGTTTGCATAAATGGGGAGAAATCAGAATGGGGCACGTCACAAGCGGTGTTCCACAGGGATCAGTGTTGGGCCCCTTGTTGTTCATAATTTATATATACGATATAGATGAGGGAATAAATAGTGACATAAGCAAATTTGTTGATGACACCAAAATAGGCCGTCCAATTCATTCTCTTGAGGACATTAGTGCACTCCAGGATGATTTGAATAGACTGATGCAGTGGTCGGAGAAGTGGCAGATGCAGTTTAATATAGACTAATGCAAAGTGCTAAATGTTGGACAGGTCAATAACCATGCCACTTATAAACTGAGTAGTGTAGATCTTAATACTACTGACTGCGAAAAGGATTTAGGAGTTCTGCGTAGCAGTAATCTGAAACCAAGATAACAGTGCACAAGTGTTCGCAATAAAGCTAACAGAATCCTTGGCTTCATATCAAGAAGTATAAATAATAGAAGTCCTCAGGTTGTTCTTCAACTCTATATATCCTTGGTTAGGCCTCATTTAGATTATGCTGCACAGTTCTGGTCACCACATTACAGAATGGATATAAATGCACTGGAAAACGTACAGAGGTAGATAACAAAGTTGATCCCATGTATCAGAAATCTTCCCTATGAGGATAGACTGAGGGCCCTGAATCTGCACTCTCTAGAAAGGCGTAGAATTAGGGGGGATATGAATGAGGTGTACAAATGGAAAACAAGAATAAATAAAGGGGATGTAAATAGCTTGCTGAAAATTTCCAGCCAAGACAGGACTCGCAGCAATGGCTTCAAGTTGGAAAAGTTCAGATTCAGGAAGGATATAGGAAAGCACTGGTTTGGTAATAGAGTTGTAGATGAGTAGAACAAACTCTCGAGTACCGTCATAGGTTGGATAAATACATGAGTGGGTGTGGGTGGGTGTGAGTTGGTCCTGACTAGCTTGGGCTACCAGGTCTGGTGCCGTGCTCCTTCCTTAAGTGGAAGTGACCTGACTAGGTGGTCATTGTTCTAGGCCGGGGGGGGGGGGCATGGACCTACTTCGCATGGGTCAGTAGGCCTCTTGCAGTGTTCTTTCTTTCTTATGTTCTTATATGTAAGAAGAAAAATTAATAACAATTGCTACAACAATCGAACTACATGGAAAGATAAATATTAGCCAGATTTAGGGTTAGAATAAAAGAGAGAGTATGCATCACACACCTGGTTTGTTTTTGTGAGGTGGGGATCATGTTGGTCGAGGCAGGGCGGCGCTAGTGGCACTGATGACGTCATGGGAGATGCCAGGCGCTGCTCCACCCCGTCCATAGCTGTCAGAGACACTACTATGTTATTCTAGGTATCCACCACATAACTATACCACTCATGCTGTTACTTTGGCTCTCTACTACGCGGATGGTTGGTCACAGCACACATCATCTACATTCTACCCCATCTACATTCTACCCCATCTACATTCTACCCCATCTACATTCTACCCCATCTACATTCTACCCCATCTACATTCTACATCATTTAAATTTATCTTCAATAAAGTGACATCATCTTTCTTACATCTCAACGTGAACACGCTTAGCATGTTTATTTGCTTCCTGGGTTTTTTCATTATGTCAACAAAACTGTTTCTCATTCTCTGCAGAATTTGCTAATAAAGCCTCACTACTTTTTTCTTTTGCTCTTTCCCATTCTTCAACCACTCTTTCTCATTACTCTTTTCCATACAATCCATTCTCCATATTTTTTTTACGTAGTAAAAAGCCTTCAAGTAAAAAATTCAGTTACCAGAACTGTCACTCCATCATTCCATTAAACATTCCCCTTGCCTCCTGCACCCTCCCACCTGCATTCTGAAACTTCCAATATGTCTTTCAGACAGCCTTCTTATTACTCCCACTCCAACTTACCTCGTTGAAAGTATTACTCAGTTAAAATTTTCCCATGATCATTTACATATGCCCCATTAAACTTTTCATTTACACTTTTCATAATAATCTCTATTTTTTATTAAGGCAATTATTCTCTCAACTTCAAAATGTCTCAAACATTCACTTAAAATAATCTTTTACTCTCTCCCCCTTTGCTCTCCTCTCACCTCAAGGTTTGAGGAGAAGCCAGTGGTGTCTGGTGCTTAAATAACGGAGTATCGAGCCTCTATCAATCTCTGTACTGAATGAAATAAGCAACTTAAAACTCTTTATATATCGTAAATGTATTTCTAATGTATAACCTCCAGATGTGTAAACACTGAGTATTACCTACTTCTCACATCTATATTTTAATACTATCAGCAAATGTTAGCTCTTATCAACAAATGTTAGCTCTTACTATCAACAAATGTTAGCTCTTACTCCCAACAAATGTTAGCTCTTACTATAAGAGATGTTCCAAGCAGTTGTAACGAAACGCTAGTAAACAACTTCTAAAGCGTAACCTAAAGCCAACCCTTGACCGACCCTGATCTTGAGTACAGAAGGATAATTTTCTAAGAATTTTTTGGGGGATATAAGGTGCACCTTATATGAAGGAAAATACAATACTCAACATTACTGTTGCATTGGAATCGTGTCCAGTTCTAATGCTATATTCATGTTGTTTTATTCTTAGTTCGAGATTTTTACCAGTTTGACCGTAATAAACTTTATCGCAAATTTTACAAGGAATCTTAAAGACACATCCATCAGCATTTTGGGGGGAATTCTTTATCAAAAGTTTTTTTTTACTGTATCAAGATTTTTAAATACAACTTTGATATTAAAAGTCTTAAGAAGAGAAGGCATATCAACCAAGTTTTCATGATAAGGGAGAACCAACATATTTTTAGTTGAATAAGGCAGGTTGTCCCTTTTTGGATTGGAAAAAGTATTTCTAGCAATTTTAAAAGATTTATCAATTACGTTTCTTGGGTATTTCAGATCGTTAATATTTCATAAATTTTGGATATTTCCTCATCTATGAACTCTGGACAACCAGTCTTATTCAATAAAAAATATGTTGGTTCTCCCTTACCATGAAAACTTGGTTGATGTGCCTTCTCTTCTTAAGACTTTTAATATCAAAGTTGTATTTAAAAATCTTGATACAGTAAAAAAAACTTTTGATAAAGAATTCCCCCCAAAATGATGACGGATGTGTCTATAAGATTCCTTGTAAAATTTGCGATAAAGTTTATTACAGTCAAACTGGTAAAAGTCTCGAACTAAGATTAAAAAAACATAAATATAGCATTAGAACTGGACAAGATTCCAATGCTCTATTTATTCATGTGAGAGATTTCAACCATCCAATTGATTTTCAAAAAGTTGAGAAAGTTGTATCAAGCAAGTCCATGGTCGACAGGTATATAATTGAATCTTGTTTCATAAAAAGCAGTTTTGACAATAATATGAATATTTCCTTTGGTTTATATAAATTAGATCCATTTATAATTAATAGAATTTGGAAAGAATTTAATAATACATTGAACAAATAATAAGTTTTAAAATTCTTAATTCTTGGGTAGAATAGTTTGTTGATGGGTTGTGTGAAGGACCTGTCTAGTTGGGCCAGCGGGCCTGCTGCAGTGTTCCCTTTATTATGAGTCGCGCGTCAGGTGTTGCTTTGTTGTGGGATGTAATAGTGAGGTGTCGGCTAGACCCTTTATATGCCTTCCTTTGATGCATTACTTTCATTGTTCCTTGATAATGTGAGTAATCACGAATACGCT